ACATCCTTTAACAACCACGAGCAAAAGAGAGGCAGTGAATATTTAGGAATATATACACACACATATACGAGATCTTACAAAACACCTCATTTAGGAATTACTACCTCCGGTTCTTAATACAATAGCTAATTAACTAATCTAAGTAAATTAAAAAAAATTAGTTCAATTAGTTATTTGTAATAAATAGGTGTTATTTTTTCTTAACTACTCTTGTATTTTAACCAGAATTACTATTTCATAAAACACTTAATATACACAATACTACTAGAATAACCTTAAGAAGATTAATAAATATAATAAATAAAGTGATTAAGATTTTATATTTAAAATTAAATTAAATATCAAAATAGCAGAAATAGTATTGGATTTTTATTGATCACCGCTCGTGGCATCCACTGGACGACATGCCTTCTTCGTAATCAACACAGTAAAATAATAAAATAATAAATGCTGGGTAGTAGTAGTATAATAAAAGGAATCAGAGACTCAAGTTGGAGCCACCTTAAAACATGGGATGCTTGTCTCGGATCTCAATTAGTTTATATGGAATTCCATTTAGATGTGCATCGTCGACGCAGTTTATATTCAAGTATTCATCATCTGTATCTATTTTGTTTGTACTATACAATGACCTACTTGTATTAATTTTAAAGAATGTTATATATATATATATATATATATTATTTAGAACAACAAGCCTGATCAAGGCGCAATGTTTTTTTTTTTTTTAAATAACGATCCAGTACTGTATTCGAGGTCAATTAATTTATTTTTATTTGATTGAATATGCAATGTATGATTACAGATGTTGAATACTTCACATATAAATTTCTTGCACTTTGTCTTGGAATTATGCTTCGTCACCCACGCACGCTAATCATTAATTATTTGGCAAAATGACAATTTGACCCTTATTAAGAAAGATATTATATTAACAAATCTACCTCAAGACTATTTTGATAAATCACAAAGAATTTTCTCAGAACATAAATACTATTCCCATCAAAACTGGAGAAATAATACTGGAGGGAGTAAAGCAGTGATTTTTTTTTTTTTTTTTGCCAGAATATTAGGCTTATGTAAATTAAGAGATTTCACCAAATTAATGGACCGCATTGTCATTTCACCAGTCGATATTCACTGAACACTCATGATATTATATCAAGAGTTCCACCAGTCCCCCACCTCGAGCCAGTTTAAAAGATCAAAATCGCAAATAGTATAATTACCATCCGTGTCAACGATATATACTGGAAATATTGAAAATGAACGCCCCAAAAATGAGTGATATTCTCCTTTTTTTTAAAAAAAAAAACAGTGAATGATAGAAATGAATCTATAATCTAATAAACCAATGAAAAGTCCCACAATCGCAACAGTTACGCGAGGAAAATATCAATTCATAATTAGGCAATGAGCTTTTCTTTCCTTTCGCAGTATCTCATCTCTGAAGCAGTTAGATGGTTAGAGAAAAAGAGACTTATTTCTTACTCATTGTAGCCTGTAGGGCCTCCTTTGTGCTTATAAACAAATTTCATTGCCATTTGATGGCATATAAAACTGGGCATCACAATGATAGATAATTTTATTCCATTTTAATATTAATATGAATGTTGTAATTAATTACTCAGCATCTATAATAATAGCCCCATGAAGTGTTTTTCTGCTGAAACCCCAAAAAAAGCCCCTTTGCTCCTCCTAGAGCCACAACGCAATATATCATTGCGTATACAATGAGGCCGAGCTTTATTTTTGACAAGCATAAGTATTTTTTTGTTAAAGGTAATTTTATTCCAGAAAAGATTATATACTAAATGTTGATACCTCTACTTCCTCCATTCCTATTTATAAACAACAACTATTATTCCTTTTTTATTTCTAAATATAAGCAACATTTATAAATTGTTTTAAATTATTGTAGCAAATTTTTTATTTTGTCCTGATTAGTTACTTATTTTAATATCCAATATATTTATTATCTCATTTTTCAAACTATCATCTCTTTTAATCCACATTCTCTCTCTTTCATAATTTTTTTATTCACTTTCTTATACTCTTTTTCTCATAAATAAGGGTATTTTGAGAAAAAACTTTCAATTTTTACTTATTTATTGTCTTTAACTTTTTTATTTATTTATGTCATGGAGTTCAAGGTTGATTATAAAAAAAGACGGAGGAAGCATTAATTGGAAAATGAAACCTTAATTTTATTTATCATGTTATAAGAGATTAAACTCTTTTGTTAGATTTAGTCCCATTGATCAATGAAGCCGAAGTGCATTAGGAGGCTTGTTGCGATGAAAGTGGTCAAATTTGTGCTATTTTCTACGGGAGCTGAGGGGCTTTTCCGCCCAATAAATGCGAATGTCGTGGCGCGTACGAGAGTTTTAAGCTCAATTATCTGTTTTTCTTTTCCCCTACCATTCACGCGCCCTAACAAACTTTGAATTTGTTTGATTCACTGGCATTGCAGGCTTGTAATGGTATTCCCGATTTCAAATACTACTCCCGATTCTAATTATAAGAGCTAATTGATTAATTTGAGAATATTAAAAAAATTTATGTTAGTTATATATAATAAATATGTGTTATTTTTTCTAAAATATTATTGCTAATCAAGTATACTGGTCATAATTACTATTATTAGAATGACTACTTTAAAAAAATACATAAATATAAGAGACAAAATGGACTAAAATCTTATATTTAGAGTCAAAATAAAAATTAAACAAGATTTTATATTGAGGATCGGAGGTAGTATAAACTAAAGTTAGCTCATTTATGATTATCAAAAAAATAAAATAAAATAAGAACAGTTTAAAACAATAAATGTGTAAGACATATATATATTTCAAATATATCTTTATTAATAAGAGAATAAGTAAAAAATAATAAATAAATAAAAAGAGAAAAGAGAATATATTGAGACAAAAGATGAGAGAGAGTGTATGTCATGAATAAATTGAATTAGTAGAGGGAACTAAGTCAGCCAAATGTAATTTAAAAAACAAGGCGGGTTAGAAAATATTTATTGAAGCTTCTTTCATCTATTCACTTTGTTTAAAACACATTTTTTCTTCCCATGTCTCGTAAACTAGCCACTTTTTATAATTAACGACGTCAATAACAAAAAAAAATTAAATATATATGTTAGGGGTACAATTGAAAAATACTCATTAAATGGTTGGACAAATTTGAAATGTTGTCTTATAAAAAAATAAAAAAAAACCAAACCCCTCAACAAATGTTAGCTTGTATTTTAAACTAGAAGGAGTAATTTTTACTGCATTACCGTAAAAAGCAAGCAAGCTTGGTCAGACTTGGTAACAAAGATGACACTAGTGATGAGAATTGCACATTTTTCATTAATGTTTATTTCTAAGGAGGAGCCTATGAATGCTCATTACAAGGCTGCAATCCGTTTTAAATTGTCTATTTTGTCCATAAGAAAATAACCTCTCCCTCCTCTCGTATGAAGCACCATAATCTCTGCCTTTCTTGTCATTAATGCCACCACAGTGAATATCTTCGTCTTCTCTGCTACCTGTGATTTCTTCATCTTCATCTCCTCCACCGTCATCCACCACCTCCATCTCCAGTAAAGTCTACGACATCACCTGAGTTCAAGGAAGAAGATGGCGATGTCTACAATACATCAAAAGAGTTCTGAAAGAATAGACTAAAGTGGAGGATAACAAATATGCGTTTCTCCACCATTGCCGACCTCTTCATCTACCCCACCAGCGGCCTCTTCCATCTTCATCTCGGCCGCCTCTTCCCTTTTCATCTCTCCCGTCACCATCGACCTCTTCTCCCTCTCCATTAATGTCTGTGGCGTCTCTTGAGTTCAAGGAAGAAGATGATGATGTTTGTTAAATAATAGATTGAGGAGGGAGCAGAACAGATCTACATGCATCTTCTTCGCCATGAGCGGCCTCTTCCCTCTTCATCTTCCCATCAGCAACATCCTCTCCCTCTCCATTAAAGTCTGCATCTTCAACTAAGTCTAGGGTAGAAGAAGAAGATGGTGATGCACTGTACTTTCTTTCCTGTTGAAACTACTCCTCTTGGGATGGATGATGATAGGAAGGTGTAGAAGGATGGAAGGAAAATGAGACATTTTAATGGGGACAATTTAGTCATTGTATATATTGTTATTTAGTTTAATATAATGAAATAACATTATTACCAGCCTATCATACCAAACATGCTCATGGTAATAAAAATTGCGTCACATTGAATTACATTACAGTGCATTGCATCGCGAAGGAGGTTGCAATCGAACCAAACAGGTCCTTTGTTTGGTTATTTTTCGTTCTCTTCATTCAAATGCTTACAGTTGAAAATCTCAATTCTCACCGCCCAACCCACCTCATCCTTCAATCTTGCGCAGGAAAATCCTCATATTCTTTTTTACTCACTAGTCGATAATTTATTTAATTCAGTTATAATTTACATAATCAATCATGATTAGACACATTCTTTTAACCAATTATTTTCACTTTTAAAAAAATTAATGCAGCGCACGTGCAATGCCCGGAATCCTTTATTTTTCTGAGTGGAACAAATGTGAAATTCAGAGTCAATTTTTAATATATGCATAAATACTTAGCAACTAGGAAAATTTAGAAAAAGGGGCGAGTTCAGCAAAAGAAAATCGTTTGAAAACCCTATTAGCTAGAATAACTTAATAGGTTTTTATAAAAGGAAAAAAAAAAACCCATCAGGTTGTTTTGACTAATAAAATTTTAAAATAGGGATTTTCCCGATTTGCCCTTAAAAAATCATGTTACCCTGAGAAAAACCCTCTTACCATTAGATGTATCGCAGGAACATAACGTGTGGATTTATCCAATTGTTTCTAAACACACTGAAGGGCACTGCTAGAAGAAAGAAAACAACATAAATTATTTTCTCATGTAAGAGGAAGTGATTCTGAAGATCTGATTTTCTTTTCTTGTTTCCATTTGGCCTACTACTCGATCTGGAATGTAGAAACATAACCCAGGTCAAAGAGAAATATCATTATAGAAGGAATTAACCACACAAAGCCACAAAGGTATGATCGCACGCCCATGCATAGGAAAGACAAAAAAGAAGGCCATGCACAAATAGCAACTAGCAAGCTAGTCAAATGCCAAATTCCCTCCATAACTAATTTGGGATTCGGCTCATTAATTATTCAACGGCCCCAAAAGTAAAAAGATACTGACAATAACAAGCTTTGAAGTTCGATGGCGTCAGAGGAGAAAGGAAGCGAAACGATTGAAAACTTTCTTGGCATTATCAGTTTCAGGAGTGAAGATGTGGAAGCAATGATCCTCTCCTTCCACTTCAAACAATTCCACCTCGCCTTTCCGCCCACTCTTCTTCACAGATTCGGAGTAAAAAACTCCTCTGTCTCTAAGCTGATCTTTGCCACAAACATAAACAAGCAGCTTCGAGCATCCAATGCTGGCCAAGCTAGGAGCCCCATCCGCTGTGGGATTGATCGCCGGGTTATCAATCCCGCCCGGTGCTGATGGGTACACAAAGTTCCACATTAAAAGCGGCAGGCTCTGTTCGTGCCCTTCCTTCGGTTCCGATCCGATGGGCTTCGATCCCCAGAAGTATGGGCACGAAAGAAAGGCACCCACTAACTTCACACCGCCAGGCAAATCCTCCGCCCCACATCGCATAGCAATGTTGTGTACGATGGTTCCGCCGGCGCTGTCGCCGCCGAGGTAAATTCTGTTGAAATCGCCGTGATTAAGGAGCCATGGTTCGCCGGCGTTGGTGGGGGTTGAATGGGAAGAGACCCATTTGAGAGATTCCCAGCAATCTTCAAAGGCTGCCGGCAGATGGTGCTCTGGGGCGAGCCTGTACTCGACGGAGACGGCGATGACATTAGCCTCGGAGGCTATGAGGTTGAGGTAACGCTGATCGAGGAAGGAGAAGGCGGATTCGAGGCAGAATGCACCGCCGTGAAAGTAGACCAAGATCGGAATCTTTCTGGCCTCGGATTGGGCGGATTTAGGAAGGTAAAGGCGAGCTGAGACGGAAGGGTGGTCGGAGATGACGATGTCTTTGGATGAAACTCCGGTGTCGGAGTCATGGAGAGAGGGGGGAACAACTGGGGACCCAAAGAGGCGTTCCACGGTGCCATCCTTGTAGACTCGGATAAGATTAGGAAACTCTATTTCTATCTCTTTTGTTGCAGTTGATGCGGCAGAGGTAGTGGAAGCCATTGAAGGTACAAAGAAAACAGGGTATCAGAAACAGCAACAGCGATTCTATAGAACTGAGAAGAGGGTGAGCAAGTGATGGCTCAAGTTTCACCGTAGGTTTTATATACATGAGAATCATCAAGATACCATTTTTTAAAAAGTCGTCATAAAATGCGTGCAACTTTGGTACCATTTGAACCTCTGTGGATAGGGATGGGACTTTCCAGTCAATTTATTATTTTTCACTTTTTCCTTTTTGGGCCGAAAGTCAATTAGGCAGTTGAAGGAGGGCAATAATGAAGTACGTAGTATTATACTCCCTCCGTTCTTTATTATAAGAGACATTTGATGCTTATGGCATGTTCCAATATATAAGAGACACTTACAAGTTGTCTCTACTTTTTTGTGTTGATTTACTATTTTATCCATATTTATTATTTTCAACTCACACTCTCTCTCCCTCCCACTTCTCTTTCTTTTAATAATTTAATTGTTCTCTCTCATGCTCTCTCTCCTTATTAATGAGGGTATTTTTGAAAAAAAAAATATTTTTTACATATTAATTGTTCTTAACTAATTTTAACTGTTTTTTTTATCAACGTACTTCGGTTATTTGTCTCTTATAATAAGGAACGGAGGGAGTAATAAGGAGCAAATGCAAATAAGTATGGTCTAAAATGTCTCCCGGGGAAAGTCCTGCTCAAGGCGGTGAAATGGAGGAGAAAATGATGGTACCGTGATTGCATTGAATAAATCCAGATATGGTATAATGGAAGGTGAATAAATAATGTTATCTCCCAGCAAAGAATTTGTCCCGTTTTGTCGAAATCACATCAAGGGCTTGGCCTTGAACTCTTTAGTGATCACGGTGTTTTAAATAGCCAGAAAAAACACAACAGTTTAGCATTTCAAGTATTTAGAATCATAGATTAAGCAGAATATTATCTATATTTGATGATTATTACTTCACAAGTCCCGTCCTTTACACGGCGAAGCAATTGTTAGATTATAGTTTCAAGACATAGATGGATTGAGCCAGCAAGGGTCCAGTCATCAAATCCATCTATATCTCACAACTGAAATGAATCAGAGTCGAGGGTTAGATTATCCAACTGTTGGCTGAACGGAGAATGAGCCAAATGAAAATTTTTAGAATAAAATGATACTATTATGGGCTTTGCATAAATCATCAACGAAAATAAATGGAAAAAAGGGGCCATGCCTAATGGGGCCGCTTCCGAAACCGTCAAAAACACAGCTGGAGCGGCCATTCTCTTGTGCTTACTGCTTTTATGGCTTATGGTCGTATATCGGTAAGAGTGACCCACACGTATTAGCAAAAAGCCTAGAATATGAGCTTTTTAATGCTTCTCGGGATCAGCAATGGCATATTAACATTATAATGACAAGGCGTGACGACGTTTGATCATGTCTCCGACAAATCCTTTCTGCTTACTAGACTAGACATGAAGCGAGCATTAAGAACGCGCCAATTCCTTTTTATAGTACAAAATTAGCTCTATCTTTCAAAATGTCCTCACAAGTAATGCTAATCTCTGTTTCTTACAGAGAAAACAGGGGAGAACAGAGACAGTTCCCTTGGGCTCCGCAATCTCAGTCCAAGTACCTCTGGTCGTGCCGGAGATGATTTTCCCGCCGTAACACCGCAACTGGCTCTCGAGGTCGAGATCATCATCTTCCTCTGTGTGGGTTTCATATTGACGCCATCATGTCCACCTCAGCCCCAGAAACTATAACAACCTATCTCAAAGCTCAAACCTCAATTGCAAATAACCGATCTGATTCCCTGCTATTTTAAATTTACCCTCATTTTAGTTTTATTCTCTTAAGTTTCAAATTATAGATTTTCATCCTTCTAAAAAGTAATATGGTTCAAATTTTTATTGGATTATAAGAATTAATATTTTAAATCAAACGTTACTGAGCTCGGTGAGATTAAAAAAATACGGTGAAGCACTAAGATTCCCAAAAAAAAAAAAAATTCATAGCCTCATAACACCGCTTTGAATCTTGAAGCTTGGATGGATTATATAAATATATAACAGTGATAATACTACCACTGGTTCTTAATATAAGAGTTTATTTTATTTTTATTTTAATCTTAAATATAAGACCTCTATTCATTTTGCCTCTCATATTTATCTATTTTTTCGATCTAGTCAATACATTTAATTAGCAAGTGTATTTTAGAAATACTGATTTATTACAAATAACTAGCTTACCAAATTTTTTTAATCTATTCAAATTAATTAACTGGGTGTTATATTAATGATATGAGGTTCTATCAAATACAAAATGCTGCCTTTTTTTTTTTCATAGGATATTTTTCCTTCTCACCAGGAATTAAGTTTACGAATCGCCTCACGATTTGATCAGGAATTAAGTTTACGAAGCGCCTCACAATTTGATTTTAGCATAAATTTGGTGGGGAACGATGACGAGTGCTTGTTTATGATTCCAACCAACGGCGAGGATGGGCTTGATTGGTGTTGGAAAGTGGATCTCTTTACTATACGCGCGATGGCAGCATTTTAGGTCTACTATTATTTGATTACATTAGGATTTGTTTAAAATAATGAATAAAATCTTTAAAATTAATTTTTGTAATTTACAAAATACAAGATAAGTTTATAACAAAAATGTTATTTGACTTAAAATGCTTATAAATACTTAAAAATGACTCCAAGTAAGTCCTAAACAAAGGGAGCGCGTAAACATACTAATCAATTGTTAATTAGTTATGATATTTTAGAGAATTGGAACTGAGAGAATGTGGATTTGGGAAAACATAACCTAGATAGCTCCAACCAAAAAAAAGAACATCTCCGGTTTGAAATTGTATTTGCTCATCAAAATAAGCCAAGTACACCAGATTGTATTTCCTCGCTCCTCACTCCCCGTTACGCAAGTACATAGCCAGACAAATGAGAAATTAACTTCATCGTGTTATGAAATTAACCAACAATGAAAGTAGATTGGAGAAGAGAAGTAGACAAAAAAATGAGAGAATGATATTGTATTCCTTTACTTGCTTCACAATACAATGACATGCCTTATTTATAGGCATGGTCTTACACATAAGTTACATTGGTATTTAAATAATAGATAGTGGATAATAAACTACATGAATATGAGTGGGGGGAGTTACAAGATTAAAGGCATAGTGGAAAGATAATGGAGTAGTGGAAGATTAATGCCTAGTGGAAGTAGAGGGAGTTGATGATGAAGTTGAGAGGAAGAGGAAGAGGAAGAAGAGGAGATGGACATCCACATGTTATAATATTCATAACACTCCCCCTTGGATGTCCATTATACAATATATGTGCCTCGTTAAAAAACTTCAACTAGGAAAAACCCTGTGGGATAAAAACCTAGAAGAAGAAAAAGAGTACACATTCATTGATACACTAGAAAACTAAAAAAAAAAAAAAAACCATAGTCAAGGAAAAAAGAGTACAGCATGTGTTAACTCCCCCTCTTGGTAATATCAGTTGATATCTCTGAGTCTACGACATCCGATATCATGAACAAGCTTTTCAAATGTTGTACAAGGAAGTGACTTGGTGAACAAATCTGCTAGATTTTCATTGGAACGGATTTGTCGGACGCCGATTTCACCGTCCTTTTGAAGATCATGAGTGAAGAAGAATTTTGGCGAAATATGTTTTGTTCTATCTCCTTTGATGTACCCTTCCTTTAGTTGCGCAATACATGCAGCATTATCTTCATATAGAATTGTCGGGATCATTTTGCTGGAAGACAAGCCACAAGTGGTTCGTATGTGATGTATTATCGATCTTAACCATACACATTCTCTACTTGCTTCATGTATTGCAAGAATTTCTGCATGATTAGATGATGTGACTGATATGGTTTGTTTCATAGAACGCCATGAAATGGCTGTACCACCATATGTGAACAAATAGCCTGTTTGTGATCTACCGACATGTGGATCAGATAAGAATCCAGCATTTACATAACCAATGAGGTTAGTTTTGGGTACATTTGAGTAGAATAACCCCATGTCCATAGTACCCCTGAGGTAACAAAGAACGTGCTTAACTCCATTCCAATGTCTTCGTGTTGGTGACGAGCTATACCTTGCTAGTAGGTTAACAGCAAATGATATATCAGGTCGTGTGTGACTAGCAAGATACATGAGTGTACCAATTGCACTAAGGTATGGTACTTCTGGACCAAGTAGTTCTTCATCATTTTCTTGAGGTCTAAAAGGATCTTTATCTTTCTCCAAAGACCTTACAACCATCGGAGTACATAATGGATGTGATTTATCCATATAAAAACGCTTTAAGACCTTTCTTGTATAGGTTTCTTGATACAAAAGGATCCCATTTCTTGAATATTCAATTTGCAATCCAAGACAAAATTTTGTTCTTCCCAAGTTCTTCATTTCAAATTCTTTCTTTAAGCAACCTATAGCTTTTGCAAGCTCTTCAGGAGTTCCAATGATATTTATGTCATCAACATAAACCGCAATTATCGCAAACTCATTTTCAGATCTTTTCATAAAAATACATGGGCAAATTGGATCATTTTTATATCATTTCTTCAACCGATATTTACTTAGTCGGTTATACCACATACGCCCTGATTGTTTCTGGCAACTTATTTAACTTAATCTTTGTTCTCAAGAACTTAAATTGTATGCTTCTGGCAAGTGAAATTCTTTAGGGAATTTCATATATTTTGATTCAAAACTATAAAATGGATCATACATACTGAAATTATTTTAATCTTCATAATATTTTATATACTAAAAGATTTTCTTATATATGCTCCTGGCATATTTTTGAATCCTTCAAGGATTATCATGTAAATTTAACCATTAATGATCTTCATCCATGGGTCATAATAATATCTAACAAGTACATTTCATAACTGCCAAACTATTCAAATATGTAAAATTATATCCACTACAAAATAATATGTTTCATCATAATCATTTGTGAAAATTTATATTTTCACATAAACGTCCATATTTATAGAAACTTTATATTTCATGTGTTGGGACTACAGGCCCATTTTTACATATTGAAATGATA